GGCTTTAAGGGACACAGTTGGACATTTGGGACAGAGGTATGAATAATTGAATAAGATACATTTTTGACCATTTCCAGTTATTATTACTTAATTCTATAGGTTGGGTAACACCAGGGATTTAAGTAAGAAGGTAATGTCATCTAAAACAATAATCTGTTTCCATTACGTGGAACTGTGTCTAAACTTGAAGTAGATCCAAGTAAATGTTTTTAGTACCGAATATTGAGCTGATGTAGCTCAGTTGGTAGAGCATGGCGTTTGCAACGCCAGGGTTGTGGGTTCGATAAAATAATGTATGCGCTAACTGTAAGTCGCTCTGGATAAGAGCGTCTGCTAAATGACTAAAATGTAAATGTCTGATAAGCTAGCACCAACTTTTTAAGGACCTACAGTGAGGGAAAAAAGTATTTGATCCCCTGCTGATTTTGTACGTTTGCCCACTGACAAAGAAATTATCAGTCTATAATTTTAATGGTAGGTTTATTTTAACAGTGAGAGACAGAATAACAACAACAAAAATCCAGAAAAACGCATGTCAAAAATGTTATAAATTGATTTGCATTTTAATGAGGGAAATAAGTATTTGACCCCCTCTCAATCAGAAAGATTTCTGGCTCCCAGGTGTCTTTTATACAGGTAACGAGCTGAGATTAGGAGCACACTCTTAAAGGGAGTGCACCTAATCTCAATTTGTTACCTGTATAAAAGACACCTGTCCACAGAATAAATCAATCAATCAGATTCCAAACTCCACCATGGCCAAGACCAAAGAGCTCTCCAAGGATGTCAGGGACAGGATTGTAGACCTACACAAGGCTGGAATGGGCTACAAGACCATCGCCAAGCAGCTTGGTGAGAAGGTGACAACAGTTGGTGCGATTATTCGCAAATGGAAGAAACACAAAATAACTGTCAATCTCCCTCGGCCTGGGGCTCCATGCAAGATCTCACCTCGTGGAGTTGCAATGATCATGAGAACGGTGAGGAATCAGCCCAGAACTACACGGGAGGATCTTGTCAATAATCTCAAGGCAGCTGGGACCATAGTCACCAAGAAAACAATTGGTAACACACTACGCCGTGAAGGACTGAAATCCTGCAGCGCCCGCAAGGTCCCCCTGCTCAAGAAAGCACATATACATGCCCGTCTGAAGTTTGCCAATGAACATCTGAATGATTCAGAGGAGAACTGGGTGAAAGTGTTGTGGTCAGATGAGACCAAAATGGAGCTCTTTGGCATCAACTCAACTCGCCGTGTTTGGAGGAGGAGGAATGCTGCCTATGACCCCAAGAACACCATCCCCCACCGTCAAACATGGAGGTGGAAACATTATGCTTTGGGGGTGTTTTTCTGCTAAGGGGACAGGACAACTTCACCGCATCAAAGGGACGATGGACGGGGCCATGTACCGTCAAATCTTGGGTGAGAACCTCCTTTCCTCAGCCAGGGCATTGAAAATGGGTCATGGATGGGTATTCCAGCATGACAATGACCCAAAACACACGGCCAAGGCAACAAAGGAGTGGCGCAAGAAGAAGCACATTAAGGTCCTGGAGTGGCCTAGCCAGTCTCCAGACCTTAATCCCATAGAAAATCTGTGGAGGGAGCTGAAGATTCGAGTTGCCAAACGTCAGCCTCAAAACCTTAATGACTTGGAGAAGATCTGCAAAGAGGAGTGGGACAAAATCCCTCCTGAGATGTGTGCAAACCTGGTGGCCAACTACAAGAAACGTCTGACCTCTGTGATTGCCAACAAGGGTTTTGCCACCAAGTACTAAGTCATGTTTTGCAGAGGGGTCAAATACTTATTTCCCTCATTAAAATGCAAATCAATTTATAACATTTTTGACATGCGTTTTTCTGGATTTTTGTTTTGTTATTCTGTCTCTCACTGTTCAAATAAACCTACCTTTAAAATTATAGACTGATAATTTCTTTGTCAGTGGGCAAACGTACAAAATCAGCAGGGGATCAAATACTTTTTTCCCTCAATGTATGTATATACTGTATTCTATACTATTCTACTGTATCTTAGTCCATGCCGCTCGTCCATATATTCTTAATTCTTACTTAGATTTGTGTGTATTGGGTATATGTTGTGAAATTGTTAGATATTACTGCACTGTCGGAGCTAGAAGCACAAGCATTTTGCTACACCCGCAATAACATCTGCTGAACACGTATGTGACCAATAACATTTGATTTGATTTGATTTCCGTGACGCAAAATTGTAGTGGAAATTACCACCAGGGACTCAGTCAAACTCAAATGAATCATTCTTTATTATCAGCAAGCTGGAGAGGTTCCAACAAACTTAATGCACCATAGTACACGTCTGTCAGGAGCTCTGCCGGGGTAGTCCCATTAGTTATAATAATAATAATAATATGCCATTTAGCAGACGCTTTTATCCAAAGCGACTTAGTCATGCGTGCATACATTTTTGTGTATGGGTGGTCCCTGGGATCGAACCCACTACCTTGGCGTTACAAGCGCCGTGCTCTACCAGCTGAGCTACAGAGGACCAGTTCTCTTCTATACGACTATACAAAAAAGCTACATAGGCATGGTTCATAGGGTTGGTTTCTGCATGTGACTGGCACTGTCTCCTATCTTAATTTATAGAACTTATTCTGGGTGTTCTGCCAAAAGGTCTGAGGAGGGGGTCATGACCATCTCCTCCTCATATCTCTACCCAGCACCTACAGGAACCAACGATTGTATGAGATAAGATGTACAATTCAAGGCTATCTCTTCAGACAACAACATTTCTGGTACAATCTTCCTAGAAGTCGGAAAAACATGACGAGGAACATGTCAAAATTATGATTTTTGGCACTTTAGCAAGTCTTTATTCATATAAAAAATCTGAGGTCTATATTAAAGGGGCACTTCATTTAATATAACAGCCCAGCTAACAACAAACGTTCCAACTACTTTAGAGAACATTCCCTTGAGTCTCAGTAGGCCATTAACTAATGTTTTCATAGGAATGTTCCCGTTATGTGCAAGGAATGTTTCCAAGAGACCATTCCATTAATGTAAAATAGAACTTACCCAGAATGTGGTTACCATGTTCTCAGAATTTAAGATATTAATGTTCTAGGGGGAATGTTGCAAGAACATTAATGTGTCCAGTTTTCTATGGGTTAGGAGAATACACCAACGTACCACCAAACATACACAGAATATAATTGCCATGTTCTCAGAACATAAGATATTAATGTTCTAGACACGTTTCATGGGAACGTTGCAGGAACATTTCTTTGTATCAGTTGTCACGACGTCGCCTGATGGTCCCAAAAAAATGTTACACATCACGTTTTGTGACTATTGCCGAGCCAATCAAGGCCCTGATTGGTAAACCAACTATCCATTCGTAGCTCTTTGTCTGTTGGGCAAGGTCAGGGACACACAAACTGCTTTCAACTCCTCATCTGGGATTTGAACTCACAACCTCTTGGTTCACAGTACTCCGATCTTCCCACTACTCCACCATGTCTATGTTAGGTGTCAGTTAAATCGGACTATTCTCATCATTGATCCAGGCTCTGTCGTAGCCGGGACCAGGAGACCCATGGGGCGGCGCACAATTGGCCCAGCGTCGTCCAGGGTAAGGGAGGGAATGGCCGGCAGGGATGTAGCTCAGTTGGTAGAGCATGGCGTTTGCAATGCCAGGGTTGTGGGTTCGTTTCCCACAGGGGGTATGGGAAAAAAAATAGGAAAAAAATAAATAACTGTAACTGTTAGTCACTCTGGATAAGAGCATCTGCTAAATGACTTAAATGTAATTGATTTTATTTTCTTATTTCAACAATTTAAGGGCTTTCTGTGTAGTTGTCTAATGTGGGTGGGGCATGTTAACCTGTTTTAATGATAGTCCTGAATCACTAGGATCAATAAAATAGTTTTCTTGAATGTACTTTTAACAGAGCTGAGATTTACTTCAAAGTGCATGATGAGAATAGTCAGATTAACCGATACATGACACGGACATGGTGGCGTAGCAGGAAGATCAGTGTAACGTAAACCAAGTGGTTGTGAGTTCAAATCCCAGGTGAGGACTGTTGAATAATAATTACTGTATAAATGAACATGCACAATGTAAGCATGATTGTCAAAGTGTGACAAATATGTAAGTTAAAAGGACTGTGTGTGAGTATTCCTAATGATATTCCTAATGGTTCACCAATCAGGACCTTGACTGGCTTGGCAACAGTAACAAGGCATGATGTGTAATGAAATTTTTTTTTTTGGGGGGGGGGGGGGGTGAACGTTTCTTGCAACATTCCCATGAAACGTGTCTAGAACATTAATATCTTATGTTCTGTGAATGTTTGGTGGGACGTTGATGGAATATTCTCCTAATCCACAGAAAACTGGGCACATGAATGTTCTCATGAAACGTATCTAGAACGTTAACATTGCATATTTTTAGAATGTGGTAACCACGTTCTGGGTATATTCTGTTTGACATTAAGGGAATGTTCTCCTAACTAACACCAAAACATGCTAAAAAGGTTCTCAGAAGGTTTATGCTAACATAGATAGAATATTCCCTTAACTAACGGAAAACTGGACACTCAAACATTACGGGAACATTACAGGTAACATTACAAAAATGTTCTCTCTCCCTAAAATTGTTAGCTGGGAGGCTTTTAAAATTCTATATTATTGCACAATTTCTACTTAAAATATCATAGGGAAGCAAAATGTAATCTATTTGTGTAACGACCCACAAACTGTGGTGCTTGTAGACTCGAGAGGAAAGTAAAACAGGTAAGTGCAAGTCTTTCCATCTTGACAATACATAAGTGAATAATCTCCATCATTAGATAAAGCCATGGTCTCAGGTCAGTAACGTCACTCAACAACACATATAGCCAAGAATGAGAACATTATCAGCGCTGTAAGGCTTAGAGAAAATAGTCAAACTAAGACATGCGGGGTGGGGATATGCTATGTGCCCTACAGCCTTATTACTTGTGCCAAGAACAGTTCATTCTTTGGCCAGATAGGATCCAGGGACCAGTCCTGACAGGCCGTTTCTCTCCACAGTCCACCAGCCATCCAGATCTTGTTCAATGACCACAACCGTCTCCCCTGCAAACATGGACAGCTCGTCCTCACCCTAGAGATGGACAAGGACAAGGCCGGGTTAGTTAAGTTGTGGTTCAAATGTCACAGAAACGTGAATCCACTCATTATTAGTGTAGGCCTATATGTTGAATGCAGGCATATAGAGTGTCAGCGCATTCTGACCTGAGCCACATAGTCATATAGAGCCTGGTACTCCTCTCTGCTCTCAGAGATGGTTGGCTCCACTCGCTGAAATCCAGGAATGGAGGCGTACACTCCATCTGATGTGTCGGCTAAGGATTACACATAGAGGCAAGCAGATTAATCAGTTATTGGGTCAAGCAACTGGCAGTTTGAAACATCATTACTACCTCTATTGACAACTGAAAAAGTAATCCCATGTGATGTCAGACCCTGCTTAATATTGCTCAAACATATACTTTTACGCCAAGGGACAGTCACCCTTAGCAGCGATGGCAGAAAGCGGACGTTTCTGGATTTCAGGGATACAGTATTTCTAACCTAATTTTAGTTTCCCCTGAAAAACAGAAGGGGGAACTCCGCTCAGGCGTATTTCATCGCCTGCTACGTTAGGTTAAGGGACAGTTGACCTGAATTCAGATGTTTGTGCCCCCTGGTGGTCAAATAAATAGATGGAAAACCTACATGATAAAGTTATGGGCTATTACTGTTTCCAAATTATGATTGGAACAAGACTTTTCCCTTTAAGATCAACACAATGCATTGTTATGAGGGAGCATAGAAAAATAACATACATCGTGATCCTCTCAGTCTCAGTTTTTACCTGACAAGTAACAATGTAATGACTGTGGAAAAACATGATCTCCCTTACCCTGTCCACAAAATTGTTTCTATTGACAGTCCTACACACACTGAAAAGTACCACACTTAATGTATTTACATTGAACAGAAATATAAACGCAACATGCAACAAGATTTTATTGAGTTACATTTCATATAAGGAAATCAGTCAATTTAAATAAATAAATTAGGCCCTAATCTATGGATTTCACATGACTGGGAATACAGATATGCATCTGTTGGTCACATATACCTTAACAAAAACGGTATCTCTCTGCATTCAAATTGCCATCGATAAAATGCAATTGTGTTCGTTATCCGTAGCTTATGCTTAAGCCAACTCTCTTGCTATCTCTCTCAGAATGACCTTCTTGATCCAAACCAGTCAGGTTTCAAGACTGGTCATTCAACTGAGACTGCTCTTCTCTGTGTCACGGAGGCTCTCCGCACTGCTAAAGCTAACTCTCTCTCCTCTGCTCTTGTCCTTCTAGACCTGTCTGCTGTCTTTGATACTGTGAACCATCAGATCCTCCTCTCCACCCTCTCCGAGCTGGGCATCTCCGGCGCGGCTCACTCTTGGATTGCGTCCTACCTGACCGGTCGCTCCTACCAAGTGGCGTGGCGAGAAGCTGTCTCCGCACCACGTGCTCTCACCACTGGTGTCCCCCAGGGCACAGTTCTAGGCCCTCTCCTATTCTCGCTATACACCAAGTCACTTGGCTCTGTCATATCCTCACATGGCCTCTCCTATCATTGCTACGCAGAAGACACACAACTAATCTTTTCCTTTCCCCCTTCTGATAACCAGGTGGCGAATCGCATCTCTGCATGTCTGGCAGACATATCAGTGTGGATGACGGATCACCACCTCAAGCTGAACCTTGGCAAGACGGAGCTGCTCTTCCTCCCGGGGAAGGACTGCCCGTTCCATGATCTCGCCATCCCGGTTGACAACTCCGTTGTGTCCTCCTCCCAGAGTGCGAAGAGCCTTGGCGTGACCCTGGACAACACCCTGTCGTTCTCCGCTAACATCAAGGCGGTGACCCGATCCTGTAGGTTCATGCTCTACAACATTCGGAGAGTACGACCCTGCCTTACACAGGAAGCGGCACAGGTCCTAATCCAGGCACTTGTCATCTCCCGTCTGGATTACTGCAACTCGCTGTTGGCTCGGCTCCCTGCCTGTGCCATTAAACCCCTACAACTCATCCAGAATGCCGCAGCCCGTCTGGTGTTCAACCTCCCCAAGTGCTCTCACGTCACCCCTGCTACAAGACCATGGTGCTTGCCTACGGAGCTGTGAGGGGAACGGCACCTCCGTACCTTCAGGCTCTGATCAGTCCCTACACCCAAACGAGGGCATTGCGTTCATCCACCTCTGGCCTGCTGGCCCCCCTACCTCTGCGGAAGCACAGTTCCCGCTCAGCCCAGTCAAAACTGTTCGCTGCTCTGGCACCCCAATGGTGGAACAAGCTCCCTCACGACGCCAGGACAGCGGAGTCACTCACCACCTTCCGGAGACACTTGAAACCCCACCTCTTTAAGGAATACCTGGGATAGGATAAAGTAATCCTTCTACCCCCCCCAAAATTAAATAAATAAATTGTAAAGTGGTTATCCCACTGGCTATAAGGTGAATGCACCAATTTGTAAGTCGCTCTGGATAAGAGCGTCTGCTAAATGACGTAAATGTAAATCAGCAAACTGCTCGTCCACACGACGCTATACAAGTTGTCTGCCATCTGCCTGGTACAGTTGAAACTGGGATTGATCCGTGAAGAGCACACTTATCCAGCGTGCCAGTGGCCATCGAAGGTGAGCATTTGCCCGCAGAAGTCGGTTACAATGCCAAACTGCAGTCAAGTCAAGACCCTGGTGAGGATGACGAGCACGCAGATGAGCTTTCCTGAGACGGTTTCTGACAGTTTGAGCTGAAATTCTTCGTTTGTGCAAACCCACTGTTTCATCAGCTGTCTGGGTGGCTGGTCTCAGACGATTCCGCAGTTGAAGAAGCCGGATGTGGAGGTCCTGGGCTGGCATGGTTACACGTGGTCTGCGGTTGTGAGGCCGGTTGGGTGCAAAATTCTCTAAAACAACGTTTTAACAGCTCTGGTGGACATTCCTGCAGTCACTATGCCAATTGCACGCTCACTCAAAGAGACATATGTGGCATTGTGTTGTGACAGAACTGCACATTTTAGAGTGACCTTTTATTGTCCCCAGCACAAGGTGCACCTGTGTAATGATCATGCTGTTTAATCAGCTTCTTGATATGCCACACCTGTCAAGTGGATGGATTATCTTGGCAAAAGAGAAATGCTCACTGACAGGGATGTAAACAAATTTGTGCACAACAGTTGAGTGAAATAAGCTTTTTGTGCGTATGGAACATTTCTGGGATCTTTTATTTCAGCTCATGAAACACAGGACCAACATCTAACATGTTGCATTTATATTTTTGTTCAGTGTAGTTACAGTAATTTTTGCAGCATACATACCAGTAGGTGGTGCTAGTGGCTGTGAACAGTCATTGACGTTTGTTTTAGAGCCAGCCGTTGAGTTCCCTTGCAAAAGGTTTGAAAACCTAAAAGTAATTAAACAGAACTTATTTTGTTTCACATTGTAAAGATGTTGTTTTGATGGTTGCATGATTTCAAATATGCATTGTTGTAGTGCAATAAAAACTATTTATAAGTGTCTCTAACCTCTTCATAACTCCTCCTACAAAGCAGGCACCGCCATTGCTGTCTGTCGAGGGCTCCCCCTCATAATAGTTCTCAAACACAATGGGAGCTGGGAATAAACCACAGGCATTTAGCAAAGCAAACTCACCCAAGGCCTAAGTAAAGTGTGTATCACAGCGAGGTGGGTGCACTGCAAAGTGCAAACAAAGGGGGAACACATTATTTCTCCATGTGGCCACATACAGTGACTTGCAAAAGTATTCAGACCCCTTGGATTTCTTCACATTTTATTGTGTTACAAAGTGGGATTAAAATGGATTTATATCTACTTTCTTTTATTTATTTTTATTAAAATAAAGAATTCATAACTAAAATAGTTGTTGCATAAGTATTCAGCCCCTTTGTTTAGGCAAGCCTAAATTAGTTCAGGAGTAAAATAAGTTACATAGGCCTCTATTTTCGGCTGCCGTTAAGGCGGCGCGAGTGTCAAACGCACTTTATTTTGTCATGTATATTTTGTCATGTAAAAACTGCCGCACTGGCATTTTCAGCCCTAACTCGAGGTTCGGCAATTTACCTGTCTTATATCAACTAGCTTGCGCTCAGATGGGCAGGGTGGACATTCCCTTTTTATCCATGCATTGTAAGCAGGCCCACATTATTTTAGCCAAGCAGGTCCAGTTTTGGATGTGAGTAAAACCGTCTATAGTCTGCGTTCTTTTAATATTACATGCCCACGGGGAGAAATGATGGTGCCTGTAGAATTTGATTATAATTATTCATTCTCTTTGCAGGCCTTATTAATAATTAATTTAAACCTTGCTTATTGAAAATGTTTGGCATGTCCATGCTCAGCCATAATGCAATTTACAGTAGGCCTAGCCCATGTAATTACTTGGAACAATGTGGACTGCAAATGGGTTCAAGTTAATGTATTTAGCAAAGATAGGTCTACATTTTGTTATTTCGTTTCTGTAAGCCATTTAACAAACTTTAAGGGACTAACATTGGAATTGATTCCAAGGCAATACATGAAATACTGTAAATACACAACTTGAAGCCACATATTTCACCATGGAGCACGTTCTGATTGGCCAGTGAGGGGCCAAGACTCATCAAAACCCAACCCCTTTGTGCCAATGCCAGCAACTGCGCCGATAATTGTGATAGTGAAAATCGCAAATATATTTCTGACACGATTTACATGATTTTTGAATGACTAACACTTTCCTCTGTCCTCCATACATACAACCTCTGTAAGGTCCCTCAGTTAAGTATTGCATTTCAAGCACAGATTAAACTACAAAGACCAGGGAGCTTTTCGAAAGCCTCAGAATGAAGGGCAGTGATTGGTAGATAGGTAACAATAACAAATCAGACATTGAATATCTCTTTAAGCATGGTCGAGTTAATAATTATGCTGTGGATTATGTATTAAACCACCCAGACACATCAAAGATACAGTTGTCCTTCTGAACTGAGCTGCAGGACAGGAATGAAACTGCTTAGGGATGTTAACCTGAGGCCATTGGTGATTTTAAAACAGTTACAGAGTTCAATGGCTGTGATGGGAGAAAACTGAGGATGGATCTTGTAAAGTAATACTTGGCCTAAATGTAAAGCCTTATGTTTGGGGCAAATCCAACACAACACATCACTGAGTAACTGCCTCCTTATTTTCAAGCATGGTGGTGGCTGCATCATGTTATGGGTATGCTTGATATCGGCAAATACTGGGGAGTTTTTCAGAATAAAAAGAAACGGGATGAAGCTAAGCACAGGCAAAATCCTAGAGGAAAACCTGCTTCAGTCTGCTTCACACCAGAGACTGGAAGAGGAATTCCCCTTTCAGCAGGACAATAACCTACAACACAAGGCCAAATCTACACTGGAGTCGCTTACCAAGAAGACAGTGAATGTTCCTGAGTGGCCACGTTATAGTTTTGACTTAAATCTACTTGAAAATCTATGACAAGTTTTGAAAATTGCTGTATAGCAATAATCCCCAACATCTTGATAGAGCTTGAACATTTTGAAAAGAATAATGGGCAAATATTGCACAATCCAGGTGTGCAAAACTCTTAGAGACTTACCCAACAAAACTCACAGCTGTAATCGATGCCAAAGGTGTTTATAACATGTATTGACTCAGGGAGCTGAATACTTATGCAATGACTATATTTTAGTTATTACTTTTGTATTATTATTATTATTTATTTTGTATTATTCCACTTTGCCATTAAAGAGTATTTTGGGTAGATTGTTGACAAAAAATGTCAATTAAATATGAAGAAATCCAAGGAGTCTGAATAGTTTCCCAAAGGCACTCTATTCTCATCAATGTTTTACTAAGTTGACATTTAAAGAGTTTAGAGATAATATTGAAATGTTCAGACCTGGAACATATTCATGTACACAAACCAGCAAACTGGACAGGTGGTGTACTGTACTTACCTGGTGGACTTGAGCCAGTGCTTTTCATTTCAACAAAGCAGTCATTATCTGCAGTGATGTCACACAGTTCTAGAGTTTTCCTCACTTCTTCATAACACTGAAAGTACATTTGGGGCACGGCTCAAACACATTCAATTTACTTTCTTTATTCATTACTAATCAGCTCTACAGACCAGTTATAATCTAGTAGTTATTATAGCTTCTATATGGTACAGTTGATACAAATTCTGTATATTGTCTTACATACTGGATTATAGTACAACATGGTAAGAGAAGACAAACTTCACCAACCTCATCATCTTCGACACATTGCATTGAGAATTGGTTACAGTGGACCCAGATGGCATTCCTCAGGATGTTGATACGATCTCCCTCCTGCTGCTGAAAGACCTGCAAACCAAATCTCCATTGTATGATTAATCTGTATAGGATGGACATCCCCTTTTTACAACAATCTGTGGACCAGCAGCTGGTCTAACAGCAAATATTTACGTCATTTAAGAAAAGTGTGTCTCATCATACTGTACAATCCAACTGGAATTCTTTGCTAGGACTAACATCAGAATATGGCTCAATGTACCTCACAAATACTCTCGTGTGTAGTTTCCCATTCTTGACGAATCTTGTCTAGCTGTTCAATGTTTGACCTGTATTGTTTTTCTGCAGACAAAGAAGAAAAGGTGGTACTCAGATAATACACAGTCCTTTATGTTTCTCTCACCTCACCTTTTATTTTATTTTTATATTACAAAACATACACAAACAAATGACAGCATACAGACACACAAACATCAACGACCTCACACCTGACCCTCCTGCTCCCTCACAACCTCATCTCCAGCGCCCGCATCACTCTCTGCCACATGGCCTCAAACTGCTCCATTTTGTTTCTCTCCGTCGCCCACGCACTTTCAACATTTAGATAATAAAACATTTGACATTTCCATTGTGTTAACGATGGAGGATTGGTTGATTTCCAGTTTAAGTATACACGTTTTTTCAAGATGTTTGACGAGAAAAGTATTGTCCAACCCATCGGGTAGCTCACTGCATCCTCATATGCCATGTCTTGAAATATACAAGCAGACGGATTAAAAGTAAATTTACCACATTGTAATACTTCTGACAGCCAACTGTCTAACTCCGCCCCTAACTTTTGGACTTTCTAGCATTCCCAGAAGGCATGGATTATTGAGACATTGTTAGTTTTACACTTAAGACATGACTGCCGTTGTGCTGTAGAATTTGTGAATTTTGTCTCGTGTAATAAATTCTATACATTAATTTTTACTGGATTAATCGTAATTTTTTTATTAACCAAGTCATAGACTGCCTTTATTCGTAGTAGAGCGACAGTATTTAGAAAAACATTTGAAAAGATAAGAGCTCACTAGCCTAGTATCCCTTACCTGCCTCTCCTGCTGCCTCCCTGCACTGCTTAGACTTGTTATGCACCTGCAAAAGAACAGGAATTTACTGTGACTGACAGGAAACAATTGCATAAATGTCAGTACTAAAGAGTACGGAAATTATCTTCCAATGACATAATTGGAAATCCTTTCTATTTCAACACTCAGTTGAAGGGGAAGGTTGCGTTAATCTCCATGAACAAGGGTTTTACTTAATGTCCCACACAGCAACAGTGCAGAATGCGTGTTTACATTCACTCTATGATGAAAGTCTAACATCCTCTGCAATACACATCCTTTGTAATTATTCCAACAATTCTAAACATGTACAGACTGAACATACAGTAGTTGTAGGTCAATCTTACACAAGTACTCAGAGGGAGTACTATGCTCTAATTTCATTCAACTTAATGGTCTATTTCTAAGCCTTGTTCCCATTGTCAGGTTAGTAGATGTGTTGTCCAGTGTGGATGGGAAGAGTAAAGTGATTTACCCTCTCAGCCTGCTTGGATGTGGTGGTAGCTACTCTGCTCATCCTCGCAGCAACTTGCTCTGCCTCATCCGCCTCTCTGCACCTCTGGTCATATGACCTTTTAGACTGGGAGGGAAAGGACACACAGAAAGGAAACCTCTTGTCTGGTTTACAAAACTACACAATGTACATACCTCCAATTATTAGATAATGACAGCTGTTATTATTTTAAACTTTACAGGAAGCTGCTGCAAGATGAGGAACATAAAGTGCAATCTGTAAGCAGAGAGACTAAGATACATCAGACAGTGCAGGATTTGCTTAGCTGAGAGGCACTTCCTCAGCTTGCCACAGAATTCACACACACTATATGACCAAAAGTATCTGGACAACTGCTCGTCGAACATCTCATTCCAAAAGCATGGGCTTTAATATGAAGTTGGTCCCCCCTTTGCTGCTATAACAGCCTCCACTCTTCTGGGAAGGCTCGCAGTCTGCTTTCCAATTCATCCCAAAGATGTTCGATTGGGTTGAGGTCAGGGCTCTGTGCAAGCCAGTCAAGTTCTTCCACACCGATCTCGACAAACCATTTCTGTATGGCCCTCGCTTTGTGCACAGGGGCATTGTTATGCTGAAACAGTAAAGGGCCTTACCCAAACTGTTGCCACAAAGTTGGAAGCACAGAATCGTCTACAATGTCATTGTTTGCTGTATGGTTAAGATTTCCCTTCACTAGAACTAAGGGGCCTAGCCCGAACCATGAAAAACAGCCCCAGACCATTATTCCTCCACCACCAAACTTTACAATTGGCACTATGGTAACGTTCTCCTGGCATCTGCCAAACCCAGATTCGTCCGTCGGACTGCCAGATGGTGAAGCGTGATTCATCACTCCAGAGAACACGTTTCCACTGCTCAGAGTCCAATGGTGGCGAGCTTTACACCACTCCAGCCGACCCTTTGCATTGCGCATGGTGATCTTGGGCTTGTGTGCGGCTGCTCGGCCATGGAAACCCATTTCATGAAGTTCCCGACGAACAGTTATTGTGCTGACGTTGCTTCCAGAGGCAGTTTGGAACTCGGTAGTGAGTGTTGCAACTGAGGACAGATTATTTTTACGCGCTACGGGCTTCAGCCCTCGGTGGTCCCATTCTGTGAGCTTGTGTGGCCTACCACTTCGCAGCTTAGCCGTTGTTGCTCCTAGATGTTTCCACTTCACAATAACAGCACTTACAGTTGACCGGGGCAGCTCTAGCAGGGCAGAAATTTGACAAACTGACTTGTTGGAAAGGTGGCATCCTATGACGGTTGCCACGTTGAAAGTTACTGAGCTCTTCAGTAAGGCCATTCTACTGCCAATGTTTGTCTATGGAGATTGCATGACTGTGTGTTCGATTTTATACACCTGTCAGGAACGGGTGTGGCTGAAATAGCCAAATCCAGTAATTTGAAGGGGTGTCCACATAGCTTTGTATGCATTGTGTATCTACAGTACATATTGTGCACTCACATTTACACTTCAGCTTGTTCCACCTCTACACTCCTTCCTCAGCTCTTGTCTTTCTCCTTCATCCTCTCTCTTGACTTTAATGGCCCTCTTTGTTTCCATTTCTATCTGCTTGGTGGTGCGCCTTGTTTTTTTTGTGTACATAACCAATTCACTTACTGGCATATAATTTTGCCTGACAGAAAAACATTATGGTTTTCTTGAACCATACTAACCAAAGGTTCTTTGTAAGTAAAGCTAAAATAACCTTGACACATTGAGTTACTTAATGTGAACGTTTCAAGGCCCAGGCATCAAGCCCTACCTACCACAGACAAACATAACTATAAGGTTAAGGGTTTGACGTCACACAAATGAGCATACAGATAAAGAAATGAAGATGGTTTTTGGTAGGAACTGTGCTCACCTCCATTGTTTTCTTGTATAAAGACACCTTCATCTTCTGAACCTTGTCCATGATGCCTTCAAACTGAGACAGAGGAAAGTATACTATGACTGATGCACAAATAGCTGATCAATTACAGATCAATAGTGGATTGATCTAATCTAACCACTGATACTCTTTCTGTCATTTATCATGGAAAACAGCAAATGGTTATGAACATTTGAAATCAAAGTATATGAAATAATAGTACAATATATGTAGATATTCAACACCATGAGCTAACAATAGCATGTCTTTAGACATGCAGGGTTCCTAGAATATGACCTGAGAAACTAACTTAAAGAAGTCTATGTACTGTACCTCACTACAGTGTTTAGATTGGGGTATTCACATTAGGTGGGACAACTCAAACCTTCCAGTAATTCTGGAAACATTATAGGGTGATTATAGTAGCCACATTACTTCCCTGTCTGTCAGAGAGAAGTAAAAACCCCTGTACAATTTCCTCATGTGGGTGAATACTATAAATGTCAAACAAAAACCTTTTTTCTCTGCTCTTTCTGTCGCTCCCTGAACTGTTCCATCCTCTTGACCTCTTCCTTTAACATCCCAGACAGATGTAGATGTATATTTCCAATGTTCTCAATTTCTACAAAACATGAGGTTAGACAACATTACAAATCTGGGATGAAGTAGAGTGCCGCTGCATAGCTAACAGGTGGACAATTGAAGTTGTGTTCTACTTACGGACTTTGAGTTGGTCAAGGGATGCTCCCAAAGTGCTGTGAAAAGAAAATAACTGTGAGAATGTGCAGATACATTCATTTCACACATACCTCTCTCTCTCTCCACCAAAACGTAAGGTATTTAGTTTCCATGAATCTTGAGAGCAGAGCCACTCACTTGATCTCACAGAGTCCCCCTGCCTTGCGTGCAATCATCACCAACTCTTTGCCATATCTCTCTTCTGCAGATGCCCTATCCAATGGAAACACAATATTTCTTAACTTATAATTGTGGCATAATATAATTTCATACACAATGTAGGACTACCTCATCTTCAAGAGCTCCTCCATATCTTTGCACATTCGTCGACCCTCACAGAGTCTCTGGATGAGAGCCTCATATCCCACATTACTGATGAAATCCACTCCCTACAACCATACAGAATCATACCATTATATTAGCAACCTCAAATAAACTGTTTAAATATAAAGGTCCAAAGAAAGTCATTTTCAAAATATAGATGCAACCAAGCAACTATTCATCTTTTTTAAACTTTTACTTTTCCAGCTTTATGGTGTTTGGCAAAACAAAATGATTTCATGATGCTGTGTACATAATAGTATTGAATGCTAGTGCAAGTGAACGTTATAAACAAGTTATATGACACATCACATACTGTAGGCCTTCAGTGGGGATGTTGCTGGGCCCACACTGTATCACTCATACCTTACAGTACATAACACCCAGTTTCCACAGGAAAACAACCATAAACAGTAGTTGGTCATCACGTAGTTAGCAGTATCAGAAATGATTCCACTGTCAACCACCTTATGTATCAACAGCAAACCATTGACTGTGTTCTGTTGGCTGAACTTTGGCTTATACATGATTGTGTACTATGTGAAGGCCAAAATAAATAAAATGTACAATACAGAATGCCATATACTGGTACTTGTATTACACAATTAGTATACAATACCAAACATAATTCAATGCCAACAATATTTCATACAAAGTAATAAGAAAACATGTACAATAAGTGAATGAATTTCATGTGTTCATTTTAATTTGCAAAGGTTAGAAGGGGATTATGGTACTGAGCCTGCAATGCAAATCAACCCAGAAGCTGTCTGTAGCTTTGTAGTTCTGACAATGCATCACAGTCAGAAGATCGAAGACAGAAAGAGTGGGGAGCCTGGCCTGTTTTACGGTTGGGTTGGTTTTAAAGGAAGCTCAGCATAGAGGAAAGGTTTAACACTATTACCGACACTCTGAAACAAGCAATCCAGCCAAGAGAGTTATAACCAAGTTGTGTGGAACATTTGTCAGCGACTATTTAACAAAAATGGGGCCTAGTTATTTAGATAAATTACATGATACACCAGTACATTTATTAATACCACACACTGAAGAGCAAGTTTCCACATAAAATAATTACACAAATACATTTCTTCATCATAGCATCTGAAATAAAGTTTTAGTCAATAAATTGGCTAAGGCCATAAAACAAACACATTTGTAAAGACGACAATCTGAGAGCCAATGAGAAATATTATGTTTAATTTAGTAAAGTACTGCATCTGAAGCGGGTGTAATGTCTCAGCTGTTATGTATTCGCAATAACCTAATGGCAGGTAGCCTAGTGGTTAAGAGCATTGGGTCAGTAACCGAAAGGTCGGTGATTCGAATCCGCGAACCAACTAGGTGAAAAATCTGTTGATGAGCCCTTGAGCAAGGCACTTAACCCTAATTGCTCCTCTAAGTCGCTCTGGATAAGAGCGTCTGCTAAATGACTAAAATGTAAATAACAGTTTGGATCAAGCAGTAAATAATTTTGCTAACTGTCTCTGCTGATAGCCTCTAAAAAATAACCTTCACCCATCTTAACCATAGAGATCATACAGATTGAGCATCAAAGTGGTTAGTCAGTATGTTACAGTGACTCACCCAAAATACATCTTTGAATTGTAAAGCCATCTCAGCAATAGATCAAATATGATATCCTCTCTGAGGGCATTCAGTAAAGAAAGCACTGATCGTTGTCAAAGCCAGTGAAAATGATAATGCACACACAGGAAACCCCCAGCCAGTACACAGGGCTTGGTTCACTAGTTTGACTCAAATGAGGAAGAGCTTCGGCGTGGTGTCAGATACCACAAACACCCTGCATCTAAGATATCATTGAAGTTGGTTGTCATTTGATAGATAAGTACATGCTTTTGGGTATCTTTCTAAATATGTTTTCTATAAAGGGATCATACAAGCAACCCATCCCCCTCTAAAGTACACAAACAGACATTCTAAAGCAGGAAAGCCAACTCAGAATTTACAAACCATTCTGTCTATCATAGTATGTTGATAGACATACTATGATACAAAGATGGCGCCGGAGGAGATGGCTGCCGTTTTACGGCCCTCTAACCAATTGTGCTATTATGTGTGTTTTTTCATGTTTTTGTAATTTATTCTGTACATAATGTTTCTGCCACCGTCTCTTATGACCAAAAAGAGCTTCTGGATATCAGGACAGCGATTACTCAACTCGTATTGGATTAAGATTTTTTCTTCAAAGAGTCGGACGCGAAGGATATTCTACAGACAACCGACATGGCCCAAATCCCAGTCATTAGCATGAGAAAGAGACAGAGATATCATGGACGTAGGTTGTGGTGCCTTGTAAGGATCCGACGGCGAGCGAGTAATCTGCCTCTTCCATCAATCCTATTAGCCAACGTACAATCATTTGAAAACAAAATGGACGACCTAAGATCAAGGATATCCTACCAACGGGACATTAAAAACTGTAATATCTTATGTTTCACCGAGTCGTGGCTGAACGACGACATGGATAACATACAGCTGGCGGGATATACGCTACATCGGCAGGATAGAATGGCTGACTCCGGTAAGACAAGGGGTGGCGTACTGTGTATATTTGTAAACAACAGCTGGTGCATAAAATCGAATACTAAGGAAGTCTCAAGGTTTTGCTTGCCTGAGGTAGAGTATATCATGATAAACTGTCGACCACACTATTTACCAAGAGTTTTCTTCTATATTTTTCATAGCTGTCTATTTACCACCACAAACCAATGCTGGCACTAAGATTTTAATGCAGGGAAACTTAAATCTGTTTTACCTAAATTCTACCAGCATGTTAAATGTGCAACCAGAGGAAAATAAACTCTAGACCACTTTCACTCCACACACAGAGACGCGTACAAAGCTCTCCCACGCCCTCTATTTGGTAAATCTGACCATAATTCTATCCTCCTGATTCCTGCTTATAAGCAAAAACTAAAGCAGGAAGCACCAGTGACTCGGTTAATAAGGAAGTGGTCAGATGACGCAGATGCTAAACTACAGGACTGTTTTGCTAGTACAGACTGGAATATGTTTCAGGATTCTTCCGATGGCATTGAGGAGTACACCACATCAGTCACTGGCTTCATCAATAAGTGCATCCCTACAGTGACCATACGTACAGTGAGGGAAAAAAGTATTTGATCCCCTGCTGATTTTGTACGTTTGCCCACTGACAAAGAAATGATCAGTCTATAATTTTAATGGTAGGTTTATTTGAACAGTGAGAGACAGAATAACAAAAAAATCCAGAAAAACGCATGTCAAAAATGTTATAAATTGATTTGCATTTTAATGAGTGAAATAAGTATTTGACCCCCTCTCAATCAGAAAGATTTCTGGCTCCCAGGTGTCTTTTATACAGGTAACAAACTGAGATTAGGAGCACACTCTTAAAGGGAGTGCTCCTAATCTCAGCTTGTTACCTGTATAAAAGACACCTGTCCACAGAAGCAATCAATCAGATTCCAAACTCTCCACCATGGCCAAGACCAAAGAGCTCTCCAAGGATGTCAGGGACAAGATTGTAGACCTACACAAGGCTGGAATGGGCTACAAGACCATCGCCAAGCAGCTTGGTGAGAAGGTGACAACAGTTGGTGCGATTATTCGCAAATGGAAGAAACACAAAAGAACTGTCAATCTCCCTCGGCCTGGGGCTCCATGCAAGATCTCACCTTGTGGAGTTGCAATGATCATGAGAACGGTGAGGAATCAGCCCAGAACTACACGGGAGGATCTTGTCAATGATCTCAAGGCAGCTGGGACCATAGTCACCAAGAAAACAATTGGTAACACACTATGCCGTGAAGGACTGAAATCCTGCAGCGCCCACAAGGTCCCCCTGCTCAAGAAAGCACATATACAGGGCCGTCTGAAGTTTGCCAATGAACATCTGAATGATTCAGAGGAGAACTGGGTGAAAGTGTTGTGGTCAGATGAGACCAAAATCAAGAACACCATCCCCACCGTCAAACATGGAGGTGGAAACATTATGCTTTGGGGGTGTTTTTCTGTTAGGGGACAGGACAACTTCACCGCATCAAAGGGACGATGGACGGGGCCATGTACCGTCAAATCTTGGGTGAGAACCTCCTTCCCTCAGCCAGGGCATTGAAAATGGGTCGTGGATGGGTATTCCAGCATGACAATGACCCAAAACACACGGCCAAGGCAACAAAGGAGTGGCTCAAGAAGCACATTAAGGTCCTGGAGTGGCCTAGCCAGTCTCCAAACCTTAATCCCATAGAAAATCTGTGGAGGGAGCTGAAGGTTTGAGTTGCCAAACGTCAGCCTCGAAACCTTAATGATTTGGAGAAGATCTGCAAAGAGGAGTGGAACAAAATCCCTCCTGAGATGTGTGCAAACCTGGTGGCCAACTACAAGAAACGTCTGACCTCTGATTGCCAACAAGGGTTTTTCCACCAAGTACTAAGTCATGTTTTGCAGAGGGGTCAAATACTTTTCCCTCATTAAAATGCAAATCAATTTATAAAAATTTTTGACATGTGTTTTTCTGGATTTTTTTGTTGTTATTCTGTTTCTCACTGTTCAAATAAACCTACCATTAAAATTATAGACTGATCATGTCTTTGTCAGTTGGCAAACGTACAAAATCAGTAGGGGATCAAATACTTTTTTCCCCATACCCCAACATTCCACATACCCCAACCAGAAGCCATGGATTACAGGCAACATCCGCACTGAGCTAAAGGGTAGAGCTGCCGCTTTCAAGGAGCGGGACTCTAACACGGACATTTACAAGAAATCTCGTTATGCCCTCCGACGAACCATCAAACAGGCAAAGAGTCAATACAGGACTAAGATTGAATCGTACTACACCGGCTCCGACGCTCGTCGGATGTGGCAGGGCTAGCAAACTATTACAGACTACAAAGGGAAGCACAGCCGCGAGCTGCCCAGTGACAGAAGCCTACCAGACAAACTAAATCACTTCTATGCTCGCTTCGAGGCAAGCAACACTGAAGCATGCATGAGAGCATCAGCTGTTCCGGATGACTACGTGATCACGCTCTCCGTAGCCGATGTGAGTAAGACTTTTAAG